TAATATGCCAGTGATTGATGCTTCACAAAAGTTGCAGACGCCTTTACCAATATCAAAATGCTTTTGTAAACAACCAGTTATTCTTTACACCGATTAAAAAACGGCTACTATAATAATGAAAATCTTTTCTAAATGTAGAACTAAATACACTAATATGCATTGAAATACATGATGAATACTCTTGACACATGAAAGTGTAAAGCCTGCAGCTCACAACAAATGTGGAAGGTTACTGCGTGTCATATTTAACAAGCATATTTTACTGCTAATTTTCTGTCATTTTGCTCACATGGATAATTGAATATTAATCAGATGATGTCATTACGCTGCTGTGCCGTCAGCCAATCGTTGCATTGCTGATCATGATTTCTAGGATGGATAGATCTGTCCTTCACAACACACGCAGCGATCTCAGATCAGTTTATCCAGACATTCTAATCTGATTCGCGAACTTGTTTGAAGAACCAAATTAGCCAGAGATCAGTTATCAAGATTAAAAGATCCAGGATCTGCCAAATAATCTTAGATCATTTAAGCGAGGTACGAAGAACGGACCCCTGACCTGCATGGTCTTTGTTTTACCCATAAACAAATCATACAGTAAATGAATAAAGGTAAGTTACACATATGTTTATCACCTGTCAATCACTTTTTTGTGAGCGATCTGTGTACTGATCTGTAAACAGTACAACTGTGTTTTCTTTTGTTAACAACACGAACTTTGTCAACATAACTCACTGGAAATCCAAAATACTTCCACACCGGCGACTTCATTGAAAGAGGAGAGGGTTTAAGTTCTGTCGACGGGTCTCCTGCGTTTGCAGTTCAACAAGTGTGTTTTTTTTCCCCACATAGCAAGCCAAGCTGACGTGACATGGGGGCGTGGCAGCATCGACGATTCTATTTTTTTATTCGATAATCGAAAAATTTCGATCGATTTCGATTTAAAATTTAAATCGTGAAACCCTTAATATCTATATGGTATAACGATACAATGTTCTGTAGGCTATCGAAAATTAAATTAGCTTAAAGGGGCTAATAATTTTGGCCCTAAAAGAGTGTTTCTAAAATTAAAAACTGCTTTTATTCTAGCCAAAATAAAACACATAAGACTTTCTCCAAAAGAAAAAATATTATCAGACATACTGTGAAAATTTCCTTGCTCCGTTAAACATCATTTGGGAAATATAATTTTTTATTAAATTAGCTAATCACAATTTTTCAAAAAAAAATTGTGATTAGATTTCGATTAATCACACAGCCCTAATGTATAGTCCAAAAAGCATGTCACTGTATTTGACACCGTCTGAAATCTGGATCCATCATCTAAGCTTTTCACTGATCATAGCACACATGCTGCTGGTATATTGCCATATTGAACACTCTATTTAGAAAAAAAAATCCATTGATTTAGATTGCTATAAGATGATTTTGTAGGGGAGTAATTCATGCAATTTAAATAACAGATTTTAAGAAATATATTCAATAGAGCAAAGGTACAAATAAATAGACAATGCTTTACAGATTTCTGTGGAGTCAAACAGTATTCAGGTACAGAAAATAAATAATCAAATATACAATAACACTACTTAGTCTTTTAAATGTACAATCATTTTAAATTTATTTTGCGTGAATGCTTTAGCCTCTAGCTTAGACGCATGCAAAGGATATAAGTTCACTCTGTAATAGTTAAACTCTACAGTGAGAGCGAAAAATCTCATGTGTTCTGAACTGAAGCTCCTGCTCAACTATAATCTGCACTCGAAATCTCAGAACATGCAGACTATTGCGATACTGATGCTGAAATCACACTGTGTCAAATATTGTGACACCAATATTTCGTGCGATATACCATTTTCCTTGAAAATTTGTATTTTTATTAGCGAAGATTTTTAAATTATTAATTTATTTAATGATATTAAAATAAACAGATAAAATATATATTTTCAGGTCTAATTAATTCTAATTCAGGCTAAAAACTGTGTCACGGTGCAAATGTTTAGTCTCTTAAAACACTATGAATGAGTGAAAACCTCTGCAGATATTCTGACTGATTGGCTGTTGTTTATATTGTCCTCTCTCATCTCAACTCCGCCCATTAGTGTTTATTTTTAGCTCCTGGTTCACCTTTGGGTCACTCCAGCAAATAGCTGAATATCAACTAATGTGGAGGCGGGGCTAAAGATAGAAAGATCCCATTTGATTGGTGGTCAAATGTACATAAACAACCAATGCATTAAAAAAATGTAACATCACACATGTCTGCAATGCGTATAGTGCATATACTATCATCGCAATCACGATACGATAGAAAAAAAAACGATACATACACGATACTTTTTTAATTTTGCAGCCCAACAGTTGGAGCTACACCCAATGGATTGGTTTCTTCTAGTTTGCTACTAGACCTCCAACTCCCAGTGACCCTCCCCAACAATTATGCTATAAGGAAATGAGAATCGAGCTGCAAATGCCAACAAAAGGAGCACTGTCTGAACTCAAACTAGCTCTGCTTTCAGGTATGGACTGAGGCAACACAACCGCAGCGTGCAACAGCAGCGTATCTTTCATGTGGTTTTGCTCTCGTCTGGTGCATTCGGTCTCATCGATCGTCTGCTGTGCATGAGGTATATTCAAAATGATACCAAAAAAGAAAAGAAAAATACACACTGGCCACACAGATCTAGAGAAGCCTGCGGTGCTATGAATTATTCAGAGGTTCCACAAAATAGTCCCGCACTTTAAAAATGCATGAACCAATTTAGGAATAAGGGTTTGGGTCGACTAAATGTGTTTTTTGTGCAAAGGTGATCAAAGCCTGGAGGGTTCATTATGGAAACGAGTCTCTCTGACTGGATTAGCATACGTGAGATAGGACATATCGAAAAAGTTGAGCAAACTAACCATTTTTTATAAATATATAGAAGAGGTGAAGAGATTTGGTCCTGGATTTACTCCATATGCTGTTACTCTTAATTAAAAGTATTGGAAAATTATTATTATTAATATTATATTCTATTATTAGATCATTTTTTATTATTCATTCATTTTCTTGTCGGCTTAGTCCCTTTATTAATTCGGGGTCGCCACAGCGGAATGAACCGCCAACTTATCCAGCAAGTTTTTACGCAGCGGATGCCCTTCCAGCGGTAACCCATCTCTGGGAACATTTTTTATTATTTAATTAATAAATCTATTTTAAAAATATCATTATTATTAGTAAATGACAATTTTTCAAAATGCAAGAGTGTGTGGGTGTTTTCCAGCGATGGGTTGCAGCTGGAAGGGCAACCGCTGCGTAAAACATATTCTGGATAAGTTGGCGGTTCATTCCGCAATGACAACCCCAGATTAATAAAGGGACTAAGCCGAAAACAAATTAATGAATGAATTCAAAGATTTTGAGTAAATATGGTGCAGGTATGTGTACATCCTTTTAGCTGTCATTAAGTGATGTATCACTTAAATTAATAATTCTCCCTCCTCTTTAGATATAATATTCTGTAAATAAACATTGCGGTAATTATGAATTCATTTCTAGGAAATGGAACTCAAACACAATAACACATACAATCATTTATTATTAATAATAATAATAATAATAATAATTATTATTATTACTAACAATAATTTAGCAATTATTTGATCATTTCGACTCAATGTATTGTAACATGGCTTACTTTATATTTTAAATATTTGTAATTAAGAGTTTACTTGAAACCATTCAAACGAAAACATTCAAAACGAAAAGTTTTACACACTTTGGTCTTTAATTTGCATGTCAGCAGCATTTTGGGGGCCGGTAAATGCAAACTTTTATGTTCCTTTCCAAAGTGACATTACCACCTGGCATGCTTTTTTAAGGCAATTTTCACAGATCAATGTGATCAATCTGACAATGTGTACTTTTAATATATGTAAAGGAAATCCTTTCTATTTTTAGTGCATGTAAACATACTCCAAGGTCAAAGGGGCCTTGACAAACCCATTCGGTAAACTAAAAAAGGGACAGGTCACCCAAAACTGAAAATTCTCTCATTATATACGCACTAGTTGCAAAAATTTCAGATTTTCTTTCAATTGTTGAACATGAAAGACGGTATTTTGAAAAAAAATGGAAACGTTCAAAGTATTTATTTCTCCTATGGAAGTCAATGGTCACAGCTTTCTTTAAAATGTCTTCATTTCAGAGGAAAGAACCTCATAAATGTTTGCAAACCACTTGAGGGCGAGTAAACGACAACAGAATCTTCAGTTTTGGGTGAACTACCTCTTTAAACTGCCTATGGGATGGATGAATGAGGGGTTTTTCCAGCATCCACCGTCTCCAGACACACACTAAAACGCCTAGTCAGCATCAACATGCCTTCATGAATCTGCATGGTAACATTCAACATGCTGAATTTCAAGTGGGAATATCTGACATCAACCAAAATTTGTTCTGAGGGCAGACTGAAAAATGCATTTTGATGTAATTAAGACCAGTTGGCATGAGCTGTAAACCACATTATAATTAGTGCTGCCTACTGAGTGAAGGTTCAGACAATCTGATGACCAGACAACTGAAAGAACGCAGACGGTTAATGTTTCCTAGGATACAACCAAACCCTCCATGTTGGTGAACTTTGCAGTCCAGTAAATAAGGTCATATCCCCTGTCAATGAGTTACTGGCCTGTTACTATCACAGACTTTCCTTTGTATTAATCTTGATATCCCCATTTTTATTACCAGTGTGCTTTTTTCATGCACAGACATCCAAAATGTGTTCCAGCTGCTAGCAATTTAGCAATTAGTGTTTAATTTAAATTTTTTACACACAAAAAAAAGATTTCTGATTAATTAAATATCATTATATGTTAACATGACTAAAAACAAACTATTTAAAATAACCTCAAACTATAAAATAGCAAGTTATTTGCAATGATATAGTCACAGAAAGCAAATACGTTGCACAACATGCATAGTGAGTGTTATATGAAGGCAGTCAGAAACCACTCACCTCTCCCCTATTTGAACCGGATACAAGGCGTCTAAAGTGTATCTTTCGTTCTTCAAGCCTCCATCTAAACACCCTGACAACCAATAAACAGCCTACAGCCGCATGGATAAGTCTTAAAACTGTCTTTTAAAGCTGGTGAAAGGCGTCCGACAGGTATGCGTTGGGTCTGAGCGCCTGGTGTAAATAATTCAAGCGTTTTCTTCTCCCTCTTTTCGCGTTTGGTTACCAGAGTTTGTAACCTGACTCCACCTTTTCGAAAAGTTTCAAACTTGAGGGTCCAAGGCGCCCGGTGACTGACGTGCGAATTGACCAATCACAATCGAGTTGGTCTTCTGAGTGGACCAATCAGAACGCAGGGAGACCTGCGAGTCCAGCCTCGCATATGGTTTCCCGTCATTATGCTGCGCAAATCCAAGGCTGAAAAATTCCCAGAGGAAATTCTGCTGAACAATGAAGTGGGAATTCATAGCGGGTTGTTTTACTCCTGTAAACAACATGTCAACTTTATAGATGATGTTTACTTGAGGAATACCTGGGATTTGAAGAGACCCGAGGGTTTATGTTGTTGTTGTTTGTGTGTGGTTGTTAGCTTTGTAAGAATAAACAGAAAGGTGCGAGTCAAACTGAATGTCCACAGCCATATTCCTCCCCGGATGTCTTTGACCTGTTTTTTCCGTTCATAAATAGGACACATTTAGAAACATCCGGTGGCTGTAAATAAACACTAGAAAGCCTTAAACCATTTAACATCCTCTTCTGATGACATAAACAGACTGAACACCTGTGACTGCAGATGATCTGGAACGATAACAGGAATAATAGTTTGTCAATTTAATAACATGCATTATTTACATGAGTATATTTCAATTTTAAACGTTATTATCTATCTTAATAATGGATGTACTCCTAAAAACCAGTGGTTTTAAGCAATTAATTTATTTAGTTCAGACCTTCCACAACATGGTTTTATACACAGGGAAAGTAGCGCATCATTGTGGGATGTTACACTGTGCGATGGCGCCGCCCAGCGAAACAACTGTGAATTGCAGAATTTTGGGCTAAAGTGATCAAGTGCCTGCAGTTATCTGAATTTTTATTATATAGCTCAGTGACAAACTCAGAGATAAACATTAATCCAAATTAAATTTCTAGTGTAACAGGCTTCAACATCATCATCTCAGTGAAACTTCAGGAAAAAAGTTATGATAATAATTATTCATCGCCACAGAGGAATAAACCGCCAACTTATGCAGCATAGGATGCCCTTCCAGCCACAACCCATCACTGGAAAATATTAATAAATATTATTATAATTATTATTATTATTTTCTAATAATATCCTGGTTTCCTCCGGGTGCTCCGGTGTCCCCTACAGTTCAAACACATGCGCTGTAGGTAAATTGAATAAACTAAATTGGCCGTAGTGTACAGTGCATCTGGAAAGTATTCATAGCGCTTCACTTTTTCCACATTTTTTTATGTTACAGCCTTATTCCAAAGTGGATTACATTGATTTATTTCCTCAACATTCTACACACAAAACCCCATATTGACAACGTGAAAAAGAGTTTTTGAAACTGTTACAAATATATATAAAAAAAACACCTGAAAAATCACATACAGAAGTATTCACAGCCTTTGATGTAAAGCTCTAAATTGAGCTCAGGTACATTCTGTTTCCCACTGATCATTCTTGAGATGTTTCTGCAGCTCAATTGAAGTTCACCTGTGGTCAATTCAGCTGATTGGACATGATCTGAAAAGGCATACACCTGTATGAGCTCCCAGGGTTGACAGTGCATGTCAAAGCACAAACCAAGCATTAAGACAAAGGAATTGTCTGTAGACCTCCGAGACAGGATTGTCTTGAGGTACAAAGCTTGGGAAGGTTACAGACAAATTTGTGCTGCTCTGAAAACTCCATTGAGCACAGCGGCCTCCATCATCCATTAGTGGAAGATGTTTGGAACCACCAGGACTCTTCCTAGAGCTGGCCGGCCATCTAAGCTGAGCGATCGGGGGAGAAGGGCCTTAGTCAGGGAGGTGATCAATAACCCAATGGTCACTCTGTCTGAGCTTCAGCATTCTTCTGTAGAGAGAGGAGAACCTGACAGAAGAACAACCATCTGTGCAGCAATTCATCAATCAGGCCTGTATGGTAAAGTGGGCAGAAGGAAGCCACTCCTCGCCTGGAATTTGCCAAAAGGCATCTGAAGGACTCTCAGACAACAAGAAACAAAACTCTCTGGTCTGATGAGACAAAAATTGAACTCTTTGGAGTGAATGCCTGGCTTTACGTTTGGAGAAAACCAGGCACCGCTTATCACCAGGCTAATACCATCCTTACAGTGAAGCATGGTGGTGGCAGCATCATGCTGTGGGGATGTTTTTCAGCAGCAGGATCTGGAAGACTAGTCAGGATAGAGGGAAAGATGAATGCAACAATGTACAGAGACCTCCTGAATGAAAACCTGCTTCAGAGTGCTCTTGACCTCAGACTGGGGCGATGGTTCATCTTCCAGCAGGACAATGACCCAAAGCACACTGCCAAAATATCAATGGAGTAGCTTCACAACATTTCTGTGAATGTGCTTGAGCTGCCCAGCCAGAGCCCAGACCTAAATCATATTGAACATCTCAGGAGAGATCTGAAAATGGCTGTACACAGTCGCTTCCCATCCAACCTGATAGATCTTGAGAGGAACTGCAAAGAGGAATTGGCAAAAATTCCCAAAGGCAGGTGTGACAAGCTTGTGGCATCATATTCAAAAAGACTTGGGGCTGTAACCGCTGCCAAAGGTGCATCAATAAAGTATTGAGCAAAGGCTGTGAATACTGATGTACATGTGATTTTTCAGCTTTTTTATTTTTAATAAATTTACAACAATTTCAAAAACTTTTTTTTCACATTGTCATTATGGGGGAGTGTGTGTTGAATTGAGGAAATAAATGAATTTAATCAATTTTGTAATAAAGCTGTAACATAAACAAGTGTGGGGAAAAAACTGCAGCACTATGAATACTTTCCGCATACACTGTATGTGTGTAAATGAGTGTGTATGGATGTTTCCCAGTACTGGGTTGCTGCTGGAAGGGCATCCGCTGTGTAAAACATATGCTGGATACGTTGTCGGTTCATTCCGCTGGGGCGACCCCTTACGAATAAAGGGACTAAGCCAAAGGAAAATGAATGAAATGATAAGTCTCAAACAACCTTGCTGGCTGTGAAAAACAACTGTGAAACGGCAACTGACCCAGTTGGGACTCGAACCAATGACCTTCTGACTGTTAGGTGACAGTGCTAACCACTGAGCCACGGTGTCACCCTATAAAAATAACAATAATAATAATAATAATAAAATTAAATTATAGCAACAATTAGCCTCCAACAACCCTGCTGTGAAAACCGACAATGTAATCATAATAAAATCTGTCATGCATTTAATAGGATTTTATGGAAATAATATATTTAATAGAATGGTGGGTATCTACTGGTATTTTTGGCGTCTATTATGATACGTTTAAACAAAACCAAATAAATTCTAATTAAATATGTTGCAAAAAGAAATCATAAAAATGTGTTGAATGAATGTTGGACTCATAGATGTTTGAATTCATTGGAAGCCTTTATTGATGGTTTATTTTTACACTATTATCACTATACGACAAATAAGCTCATGTACGGGACAACACTGGACCTTTTATCAGCGTGTGTTTGTACGGGGATAGGGGTGTCTTTCGAACCGGCCCTATAATGGCAATATAATTTCAACTTATTGATAATGAAACTGAAACAAATTTACAACCCAGAGCCGCGCAGTGTTCGAATGAGGGCGACCAATACGCAATTTTGTATCAATACCTGCAGTATAGACTGTTAATAATAGAGGAATCCTCTGAATTTACTTCCCTTTTCCAGATGTACATCATTCTAAGTGTAAAACCAACACGGACTACACGAATAAAAATTGTGCTACTGTCACTTTAAGATGTATGGTCTCTCTCTCTCTCTCTCTCTCTCTCTCTCTCTCTCTCTCTGTATGTGTGTGCGCAATCAGTCTGAAGATAACGGGCCATTGCCTGAACTAGGAAGTGCGAGTCATTTTAGTGATTCATTTGTTCGAACGCATCGTTGCAACTTGCTTTAGATGTTCTATCTATCTATCTATCTATCTATCTATCTATCTATCTATCTATCTATCTATCTATCTATCTATCTATCTATCTATCTATCTATCTATCTATCTATCTATCTATCTATCTATCTATCTATCTATCTATCTATCTATCTATCTAAATAAATAAATGTGTGAAACTATTCTGCCATCATACAGTACATGCTTATTAATATAATTACAGACTATTCGAGATTCGAATCTATTATATTATAAACAAAATATATACAAATAAATATATACATTAGAATAGAATCTTTATCTATTTTATTTGTTATGTTTTCCAACATATCCTAAATGACATAGCTATCAACATTCAAAACGCACGTCTCGCAATGGATGGCGAATGATTCACGAAGAGTCGATTCGAGTGAATCATTTAAAAGAATCGGTTGACGCGAACACAAGGACATCATCTGCTTCTTTTTTCGCACTAACCTCAACTTCTTCACAGCGCGGCGCGTCTGTCTCTTCTCTCACGAGGCTTTAGCTAGATTTTAGGTACATTTCCATTGATAATCCCGGCTCTTTCCTATAGTCTGTGCGCTTTCCACCGTGGCGCGTCTGTGAATTTATCACTTGTATCACATGCTGATGGGTTTCGTGCGCAGGTTCATTTGAACCTTTTTTTTAATTTCCACTCCGTTTTCCATATTCAAGCCACTAATGGACACACCGAAGGATTATCTGTGCTTTAGACCTCTCGACATGAGATGAAACCCAGAGGAGATGTTATATATACCAAATAACGCCAAGAAGAGGACGCGCTATTTTGGCACATGAAGAATTTTGCATATGGACACACATGACATGCGCCGAACAGACAGCAGAGGCAAATATCTACGATTTTTATTAACCTTTAGCTGATTATTGCTCAGAATGCTTCAACTGTAAGCCATTTTACTTGAATTTCTAATATATGCACTGTTATGCAGGCATGCTGGCTCATATCTTGTGTGATGGATTTTGCCACCATGCAGCATAGGTGAAGTGTTATAGTGAACACTGATATAGCCTATATACAAATACAAATTATTTTAGCATGCTATTTATGCTGGTAAATTAAACCCATTAACACTCCAATGCCTGACATTGGCATGTGTGCGTTATAGCATAATAATCTTCCTCCAGGGCTAATGTCGGAATATATTTGTTTGGCACAATTTCTTAATTGGCATAAGTAGTTTATTAGCCTTAATTTAGAAGACGAAAAAAAAGCTTGAGAGAGCATAAGCAGCTTAAGGTTAACAGAGCAGGTGGCACTTTGCATTGTGCATTCTAGCCTCGAAGTGGCTTTTATTATAGCAATTACTACAGTATTTCGGTGGTAATGGACACCAGTAAAATGGATGATGCTTCGTCTAGCGATAGCATGGAGATGGAAATGACGCCTGGCTACATGGAGCTCACCTCCAGAGCATATTCAGTCATGTTTAGTGCCTTTATGGACTGTAAAGACTGCGGGCTGGAGTTGTCCATAAGGACATTGCTGGACCACGCATACATAACTTGGATGGAGATCTTCATGCTGTTCATCTGCACTGTCATGTGGACGAAAGTGCGCAAGGGACTGACCGTGTACTTCTTTGAGGTAAATATCCCGCAGAAGCCAGCTGCATTATTTATATTGGGTAATATAGCTGCTGTACCGTTTTATTTAGACGCTATTGATCATTTTAAAACTTTCAGTCAATAGAGGAGGCTGTAAATACTTGAATATTAGATGCCAGGTTTCGAAAGCATCACTGGCGCCTTCAGTGAATATTTTGAAACACTGGAAGTTGCATCACTATTAAATTTGTATGTTAAAGGGATAGTTCACCCAAATATGAACGTTTTCTCACTGTTTATGTACTCTCGAGTGGTTCTGAACTTCAATTTCTGTCTTCTGTTGGACACAAATCGAGATATTCAGAAGTATGCTGGGGAAAAACAGACATTAAGAAAGTCAATTGCTGATTTGTTTCCAACAGTCTTCAGTATATTTTCCGTTGTGTTCAACAGAAGACATTTCTCAGTGAACTATGCCTTTAAAAGAGACCTATTATATCAGTTTTAGTTGTAAAATAAATTTTTGATGTCGCTAATGTGTATATGTGGAGTTTTAGCTCAAAATATCACGCAAATTATATTTCATAACTCTTTGAAGCTGCCACTTTTGGGCCAGTTTGCTGACTGTCGCCTTTAAATGCAAATGAGTTTGTGTTCTTTTGGAAAAAGGGCGGAGCTACTGACACCTGTGTGTCAGCATAGTGGCAGACTCAAAAACAAGACTAAAGTTATCGCTGTGAAAAACTGAAAATATCAACAGAAGTGTCTCAGAAGAAGGAAGTCTGTGGAGGCTCTGGTGTTTATTGACCTTATTCATCAATGCGGAAGTGCGCTCGTTTTTGTGATTGTTTTAGAACTTCCGATTTAGTCGCCTATGGGAGAAATGACTAGGAATAATAAACGTCAGAAAACGGTCAAACTACTTAGTCAACAAACAAGTGTTTGCATGACTATACAGACAAAGTAGAATAATATAATAAGATTAAAGCTGCAAGCAGCGATGACAGGGACCTTGCACCAGGGCTCACCGCCGCCCGGTGGCCTCAGGATGACAAGAGTCATAACAATAATTTAAGCCGATATATATAAAGAACCTGAGAAAATCACAGATTTATGCCAAACTTCCTCCTGTCAGCAGGTGGCGCTATAACTGTGACTCAAGATTGGCATGTAGATGTCTTCAGGAGAGGCATTTCATCTAACCTGTGGATTTTCAGGTAGATTGGACATTGTTTGGCTGAGTTATAAGTAATTTCCTGTTGCCTGTTGAGAGGCCGCTGTATACCTTTTTGAGATCTCAAATTTCTCTCGCGAGTGCCCTCTGCACCTGCTGTTCTCACGTAAACCCACCAGAGGCCGCTGTTGACTGACTGAAGGACTGACTGACTGACCCAGCCACCTCCTTCCCTAAACCCAACCAACAATTTTTCAAAAGCAATCCAAAAAAAGTAAAGCCCTCGTCTGATTTTTACCATGTTTTCAGATTTTACCACATTCTCACCCTGTTATTTACTTGTTGATTTTATTTATTGGGTTCTGGTTTAGGTTTACCCACTTTTTGAAACCGTTCTTCACCTGAATCGAATCCCGTTGTCGTGGTCAACTCCTTTCTGCGTCTCAAGTCGGTGGACGTACAGTACATGACGAGCTAACGGCACAACCTGGTTACAGCAGTAAAGCTGTCCAATTGAAGGTAAACGGTCAGCTGGTCAAGCGTGAAAAGGAATGGCGTCATACCGCCCCGTAGCGTTCCGTTTAAAAAATGAAATGCAGCCATACCTACCTCTGGCTACATAATTTGCGGCCTCCAGAACAGTGGCGTAGCGGATAGGGCCGCAGGGCATGCACTGCGGGGGGGCCCCGCGTGATTAGGGGGCCCCGCGTCGTCACGATTTTCAATAATTTTAAATCCGGCAACCGCAATAATCAAACTCTTGGGAACAACTGTGGTCGGAATCAAAGTTCAGAGGTCTGTGTTCACTGAACACCTCTGAAGCGGTGGACTACTTTTCTGATTGCTTTACTTGATTTCAACTATCCTCGACGCTCACACCGGAGAAGACGCGCCGCGCTGTTTCTCGCCGCCGGCTCTCATTAAAAATGAATGACTTCTGGCTACTTTGACGCTCTCGCCACTTTCGGTTTGTGTTCGCTCCTCAGTTTGTGAAGGCTTCCCCGCATTGTCGCTCCACCCCGCCCCCCTTCCCCGTTCCTCAATTTGTGATCGCTTCCCCGTGTTGCCCCATCCCCCCCACACACCTCAGGGGGCCCTGTCAGTGATCCCTGCAGGGGGGCCTTCGCGTTTTGCGCTACGCCACTGCTCCAGAAAAGTATATAGGGCTACGTTTTCAAAATGAGCCTATGGTGTGCTTCTCACTAAGGGCTGTTTATGCTAATGAGGAAGAGATGGTCACTAATAGGTGGGGCTTTTTCCCCCTGACGACACGCACAATGGGAGAATGTCAATCGAAAGTGTTTCAGCAGGCTGTTTTTATCAAGGGTGATTATAAAAAACTAAATGAATTGATCTTCACCGTTAGAAGCTGGTTATGATTGCACAATGTTGCCACACAACCCTTATTAAAGCGCTTTCCTCCTTTAATTTGAGCATCTACTGTACATGTGAGAAAGTGCGGTTGGCTCTCATTCTGTCTTGACACTTCACAAAATATACTTTTACCTCGCAGATGCAAAAAAGTTGTTACCAAAATGTGTTTGTGGTCTAGTTTATCTTCGATCGAACCAAATAAAACCTTCTGAGAGGTTTCGTTTGCCGTTTACAGCCCATTGAATGTCACCAATGAAGTTGCAATGTGCGCTGTTTTACATACGTTTCATTTTGCATTTAAACTTTTACATACTTTTACATACAAAAGATTGCTATGCAAACAGGTTACTAACTATCAGGTTTCCCGGGCATGAGCTTCACCGATCTGCCTCGTGTCGGGATATCCCCACATTTTGCATTTGCTGCGCATTTTGACGTACACGGCTTCCTGTGTGTGAAGTGTGTGAGGCTGAAACATGCTGCTTCAGCTTATGATTCACCGGCTCTCTGCATTTGTGTTTGCTACGGTTTATTCTTCCTTCTGTAAATTCTTGTCTCTCAGCACGTTGAGAAACTCAGACGGATGGCGTGGGGCAGCTGCCCTGTTGTTAATACAGAAATATGTGAAGTGTCGGGACATTGTCTGGGTTATAACCCTTGAGTAATTGAGTAAGGAGTCGCATCCCTGCAGTTTGTTATTTAAACATGGATTTGAAAACGAAGTGACAAGCGGCTGTAGTCATCTCATATAGAAATGTGATACATGTAAATATATGCAGACTACATATTTCACATACAAGCTCATATTTGGATATCATATACAGTTGAAGTCATAATTATTAGCCTCCCTTTGATTTTTTTCTTTTTTAAATATTTCCCAAATTATGATTAACAGAGCAAGGAAAGTTTCACAGTATGTCTGATAATATTTTTTCTTCTGGAGAAAGTCTTATTTGGTTTATTTCAGCTTGAATAAAAGCAGTTTTTAATTTTTTAAACACCATTTTAAGGACAAAATTATTAGCCCTTTAAGCTATTTTTTTTTTATCAAACCATCGTTATACAATAACTTGCCTAATTACCCTAATTAACCTAGTTAAGCCTTTAAACGTCACTTTAAGCTGAATAGAAGTGTCTTCAAAAATATCTAGTCAAATATTATGTACTGTCATCATGGCAAAGATAAAGTAAATCAGTTATTAGAGATGAGTTATTTCAACTATTATGTTTAGAAATGTGCTGAAAAAATGTTATCCTTAAATAGAAACTGGGGAAAGTTGGGGACACCAGTTTCAAAATATTGCAAAAATTGCTGCTTATATTTTTGTTTCAACCATTGTAATTACGAATATGTTTATATATGATAAGTAAAAAGTATACATATTGCCATATGTATATGAACACATTTATAAAATAATATTTTCAAACATATATGTACATATTTGTAATTCATTCATTCATTTTCCTTCGGCTTTGTCCTTTTATTAATCAGGGGTCGCCACAGTGGAACAATTTAGCTTACCCTATTCACCTATAGCGCTTGTCTTTGGACTTTCGAACCTGCGAGCTTCTTGCTGTGAGGCAACCAACACAGGCTCATTCTGAAAACGTACGTTTCTGGAGACCGCAAATTATGTAGCCGGAGGTACGTATGGCTGCATTTCATTTTTTTATGCGAACGATACGGGGCGGTGGGATGTCGTTCCTTTTCGCTCTTACCGGCTGACCGCTTACCTTCGTGTGGAGGGCTTTCCTGCTGCAGTTAGATTGTCTAGGTAGCTCGTTGTGTACGTCGGCGTACTTGAGACGCAGAGAGGAATCGACCCGGATGACGACCGGGTTCGAGACTGGGGAAATCAGGTAAGACAAAAACAGAATCCAAAAAATAAAATGAATGAGTGAACAACAGGATGAGAATGTGGTAAAATCAAAAAACGTGGTAAAAATCAGACGAGAGCTTTTCTTTTTCTCGACGGCTTTTGTAAATCGTCGGCTGAGTTTAGGGAAGTATGCGGGCGGGCGGGTCAATCGTTAAAATTGATTGGGTTTAGCGAAGGTGGAGGGTGAGTTGGTTGATTGGCTGGTCGCCCAGTCAATCATTCAGTCAGTTGACAGCGGCCTCTGGTGGGTTCACGCGAGAACAGCGCGGGTGCGAGAGGCATTTGAGATGCGAAAAAGCCTCTTGTGAATTCACGAAAACAAAAACTGCAAAACTACATACCTCCCATGCCGTATTTCGCGGTCTCCAGAAACGTCCACGGGACTACGTTTTCAGAATGAACCTGAGTTGAAGGCAACTGTGATACCCATTGCGCCACCGCACTGCTATTTGTAATTTTGTTTTTAAATTTGTAGCATACTATATGTGACATATTCATTTTCCTTCGGATTAGTCTCTTATTTATCAGGGTTTGCCACAGTGGAACGAACCACCAACTACTCCAGCATATGTTTTACGCAGTTGATGCCCTTCCAGCTGCAACCCAGTACTG